ACATTCTAATTATATTTTTGTATGTCCACACTGTTTTAATATCCTCAGTGATTACTTTCTCATTTTGTTTAGTAGCAATTTCTATTTGCCTTTCTGAATGAAAACTTTTTCTGTAGTTGCTCATCTTGTTTCCTTCCCACTTTCACTGCTGTTCCAAAACTTAGCTTGATACGTTTGTGATCACTTCCCAGACTTCTGGAGCCACCTTCATCTATATGCATTCCCCTGAGCTTATCTTACATCCTTTGCGACATCACTGTGTAATCTATCGTCGACTGCAGCCTTCCTACCTCCCATGTTATTTGCCCTTCACACTTCTCAGTACTGTTGCAAATGATCAAATCATGCCTTTCACGCATATCTATGATCATTTTGCCTGTTGAGCCAGTATGCCCATCTATATCTTCTATGTGCGCATTCATATCTCCCAGTATAGTTATCTCGCACTCTCCTCCTAATTCCTCAATGTTCTTTGATATTGACCCCACCATTGTCTGGTTTTCCTCTCTGGCCTTTGCTACCATCCACAAGTACACCAAACCAAGGAGTGTCATCTGCCCAGCTACTTTCCCTAATAACCATAAATGATCCATGCATCCCTGCTTGACTCTTTGCCAACCCATGCTCTTATGTATGAATGCACCAACTCCACCCCCCTTTTTTCCGCCTTCTGTTCTATTTCGATATTCGCATACGTAGTCCGGATTGCAAGGTGGTTGCTGCATGTCCCGAAGATGTGTCTCCACAACCCCTTATACCATATGTTCCTCCTTCCTCAACTGCTCTTCTATCTCTTCCCTCTTTAACCTATTCCTGCCACCCTGCATGTTAATGTAGTCTATGTCTGACTTAGCTCGGCCCTTGTGCTTACGTCGATTTATTCTCCCATGGGCTTCATGTGGCTTGAATATTTGTGCCCCTTTAGAACTGTCTTCGGCTACACTGTTGGCCTCAAAGCTCTGGGCCCCCCTAAGAAGCTGTGCTTGACGGCCCATCATATTACCAACCCTCATGCCCGTCTCACCACTGTAGTGAATGCCATCCTGTGCAAAAGGGCGAGGACCGGTTCACCTCCATTACGCTGTATCCGAGTTACCGGCTCATACCCTTGATCGCACAGTTGGCCTCCACTGCCCTCCTTTCAATCCCACGAGGCTGCCCCCAGACATCTGGGACTGTGCATATGGTCACATGCACACTTCCTGAGGCTTCTCGGAGCTTACGCATTTGATCTTCTAAGTGTGTTTGAAAGTTCTGATCCTTGCTCTTCAACACATCATTGAGCCCAGCATGAATAATGACGAGATTTTCGCCCTCCATGCTGTCCTCTACAACCCCCTGAGCTTTGGCCAGTGCATCCATTATGCTCTTCCCTGACTGGGCTTCCACCCTCACTCTCCCATCTTCCTTCACTGTCTTGAAGACGCCATCCCTAACCCTGGCCGCGTTAGAGGCCACCACCACCAGGACCCTTCTACGCTCCATTCGTTGACTTCCTGTTTGTGATGGCGCCCCTGTTTGCTTCATCTGTTTCTCTCTCTGCCGTCTGTCCTGTGTTCCTGCCCTGCTCGAAGACTGCCGCGCCACCGAGCTGTATGTTCTCGGAGCCTCCGAGCTGTGGCCAGGCACTACGGTCCCCTGACCTCCCTTCTCACCCATTCCTTCCCGGCTGTTACCTTCTTCGCTACCTATGTCTTCCGTCTCACACCGCTCGGGGCCGGGGCAAAGCACTACAGCTCCTTTACCCGCTGCTCGAGCTCGGTCCACCCTTCCCGTTCTTTTCGAAGGTCGCCCTTCATTTGCTCTAATAGGCTGGCGGTAGCCTCCTCCCACTCACGCGAAACTCCGAGCTGTTTTTGGAGCTCTATCCTCTGCTCCCGTTCCACCCTAAGCTTCCCTGAAGCCCCTCGATGCACGGCCGCCTTCAGTGCCTCGCACAGCCTGCACACAAAGCTCGCCTTCTGTGCGTCGGCCGAATTCGTCAATGCTGTTTTGTCCAAGTAGCACCAGCGCTTGCATTCTTCGCACAGCACCAGCTCACTCTCGCCCGTGGTTTTCCTAGCCTCCTTAGCCATCGCCCGCCCGAACATCGGACCGAGCGCCCGACAGCCCTACGTTCAACCCTAATCACGCTATCCAGTCCGCTTCCGCTAACTCTCCTACCTCAACAACTGCTTGAAGCTGCCGCCTACACCGCACACATACGTGCTCAACTTCGCTATAGCCTCTCGCTAGGTCCCTTTCGTATTCGGCTCTAGCTGTTTAACAACTAACCGGGCACCCCGAGCTTCTTCAAAACAGCCGCCTACCCCGTTCACGTGGTTAAGGTCACTGCAACGTTGCCCGTGTCCCACATCTACAGTACTCGCAACGCTAGTTATTGATTAGGAGAGAAAAAATAACGGTGGTGCTCACAAACACAAAGAAATGAAGGGAAATTTATCTCTCATTGCGCAGTGGCCTGCGCCAACCGACCTTGCACAACCCTACACGAACTTGA